TCGATGTGTTGGGCGATCATGATCACCAGCTAACCGTGAGATGGTCATGTCGAGTTCGACGAGACCGCCTCGAGTGGTCCGGGATACATCGAAGCTGTTTCAGCATTCTACGGCCGTCTTCCACGGGCCAATTATAACGGAGTAGAACCACTTGGTTCATGCGGCCTATAGGCCTCGAGAGGCGGCACTGCACACAATGCCGCAAGCAGTGCCTCATATTTGGAGACAATGGTGCGACAGAACGCTTGATCATATTTCGAGAGCTAGGAACAAGAGCGACCGACGTTGCGATGTCTTGCCGCACTAGATATTCGAAGACCAAGGTTAATAGTGACGTCGGGCTGGTGTGAAAAGTCCACACCGCGCACTCTTTAATACCTCCAGAATGCTACCACAGTGGTCGACCTATGAGTCAAGCGACATTGAACCGAATTGAGGTACCAATTTTCTAGCACTACATCATGACGAGACCTTCGGCTCGTAAGCCGCAACGTCGTCCTGGGAGGAGGCGTGAGTTCCTCCCTAGAGCATCTATTGCCTGCCAGTCTTGCAGAAAGCGCAAGAGAAAGGTCTGATTACCTTGAATTGCCCGATGTCGCTCTTACTTACACTAATGGATAGTGCTCTGGTGTCCCAGGACCTTGTCAGCCTTGCTTGTCCTCTCAGATACCTTGCGACTTTGACGCCGATAAAAGGCGTCGACTACCCTATATGACACTACAACTCATTCTGGGCTCTCTGCTTCAAAGCATCAAGTACAGTTCTTCCCAGAAATTGCAACGATTCATCGACGTAATCCGGAACGACCGTCCAGCCATAGAAGTGGCCAGGGCATTTCAGGACAATATCGAAGCATTATCTTATGGTGGATATCTAGAAAGGGCAGAAATCTTCAGTGACACCGAGTTCATCTCTGGGGCTCTTGACATTCCTACCCACGGATCGTATACGAGATATACGTTGTCAGCTACCCCGAGCTCGCCAGCATTCGAGCTTCGCGGCGCAAACTCTTCTTGCGACGCCGCCGATCCTTCTTACGGCGAAAACACCACTGGAGGTACCGACATTGCCATAGACGGAAACCCATTCACGCTAGCACTGGATGCTGTCAGTTACCCATCGTTTCCACAATCCGTTCCTGGTCCACACCCCGTTGATACTAGTATCGGCTCCCTTTCTAGGTTCGAGCCTGGGCCTGGGTTACCTTGGGATTGGGTTGGCTGCACCGACAACGATACAATGTTTTCGTTCCCAGTCAATGCAGCATTAAGTTCGGATACCTTGCAGAACTGTCCTTCGAGTCAATATATGCAGCCAATGAGCTTCGACTATCAAACTTAACGGCAGGCGAAACTGCTGTCTGGATGGAAACTACTTGGGAAGCAAAGTCATAAAGAGGTTACCGTAATACTTAAAGGCAGATCAATACTTAGGGCCATCATTTACGCCGCTAAATTTTCTAGGTTGCTTAGGTGGTAGAATTTACCCTGGGAGGACCTTGCTAATTTGACTTTCCACGCCGATTAGGGCTGAGCCTACAGTATACTTCCGAGAGCTGGGGCGATTCAGAGCCACGGGCTGCAAACAAGTCGGTTAAGCGTTCATGTCTCGATATTTCAGCTTCGTTGATCATGATCGGTAGCAAGTGACCCTTCAAACACATTATGGAATCATCTTGAAGCAGAAGAACAAAATAAATGGTACAATATATCAATAGTTTAACCTCACAAACTCCATTCGCGCCACCAAGTCCGCCGAACCACGAAAAGGTGCCGGCTATACCTAAGAGCGAACCAGGGTTTAGGTAATCAGGAATTATTGACCTCAAAAGAAGAACTCACTACCACCTTCCTATATCAGAGGCGTACCCAGCCCTCGAGTCGGGGATGGCTGTAGGGATGTTGCAGTTCCAGCTGTGTTGGTTGGGGTGGCTTACATGGTTAGACATTTCGTGCGAGAGGTAGGAAAATCTTACCCTGCTCTTCCGGGATCACATCCACCGTCAGCCAAGGTCGACTTGACACAGATCTTGTCGCCGGCGTCGGAGTCTTTGGAATTCCTTGATCTAAGCCGAAGGGCACCTCTTGTTGCTCTTGTACTTGGGGTTCTCGGTTGCGAATCGACGGTGTGTAAGATTTCAGAGTTTCGCCCGTATATTGGCTATTAGCTGCTTTCAGCGTAGGTTTGTAGGCCCGCGTGGATTGGAGGGGTAGATCTAAAAAGTCCCCGGTGCGCCGGGCGGGATTCTTATCGCGTCTCCGGAACAATGGGTGTACCATTTCGTTTTCTTCGCTTTCGCCATCTTCCACCATAGGCCGCCGTGTTTGTGGATTTCCTGTTTTGCGGAAAGAAGGGGCGTGACCATTATAAGGTGCTTGAGGTAGCGGTTTGTTCATATATCTCAACGCAACTATAGATAATAAGTTAGGGAGTAATCCTGGCTATAGGTTTAGACGAACCATTTGCGGCAGATCGAGGCTCTTCCTCATTCTGGCGGCGAACGCGGCGAAGAATTGTAAGCTGGAGGAAAAGAAGCCCGAGGAAGACGACAAGGAACGTGATGAGGACTAGTCCGACAACGATCAAAGTGGAAGACGTGTTATCTAGGACCATTTTGATCTGACACCTTTAATGGCGAGCAGTGTTATTGTCAATCGTTCCATCTGCGAACTTTTTATTCATGGTCGACGACATTTCTTCAATGGGCGAGCCGCCATGGTGGAGATGAAAGCTCAGACAATAGTCGGCCTCGCCATGGCCGAGGCCAGGTGAGCATGGTGGTGTGGAGGATGAAGCAGTCTTTAACTGCACATGGCTATACAGAGAAGTCGTGTTCAGACACAGTATTTGAAGGTTACTTAGCGTAGCGTGCGTGGCTGGGCAATTCTGCGCCCCAACTCAAGGCCCAGTGGCCCAATTTTAGCGGCGCGTCTATTGTAACGCCTAAGTTAATACTAACAAAATAGAACGGCGAGACGCCGAACGCCTACTGTAACCTCAGGAAGCCGAGGTATAAAATGTCAGTGACCTTGGCGACTGTACCACATGCTTTCGGGGTTAGAGGTGGGGTCTCGGGGTCAACCAGAGCCCGCAGTAAACCCCCGACTGTGTTAGGGAAGCACCACAGATCGTTGCGACTACATTTGGCCTAGTACCCCAGGGACTATAAGAGCCAGGCATTTAGATGTAAACGGGTTTAGGTACGGGTCACCAGTTTTCTGTATATCTATAACTTCGTAGGCTCTGATTCGGACTCTATGGAAGATGCTAGTGAGAGTAAATTGATCTCCTCCAACGAACATACCGCTCACATCCTTGAACAATATCAAAATGACCTCACCTACCAATGTGTTGGTCTCATCGACCAGAAAACCCAAATTCTGCGCCAAAATATCCATTCGATTCTGAGACCATACGGCGGGCCGAAAGACATGGAGCGAAGGATCGAAGCCATCGAAAGGGAAAACAGGAAGCTCAAGGATAGCGTAGTCAATACGGATCACGACAACTATAGATTGAGGAAGACGCTTAGTGCAGAGGAAAGAAACTGCGCAGAACTACAAACTTCCCTGAACGAGGTCGGCCTCCTTTTGGCCCAGGCCTACCGATTTCGAAATGCTAGCGAGGATGAAGTCCAGAATCAACTGAGAGCGAGAGGGATAACTGAGACGACCATCGGTCTCCTCGTCGGCAACGGGGAATTTATACAACAGCTTGCGTACTATACTGCTCCTAGACGGTCGGAAAGGCTTCTAAAGAGCTCAAAGTTTCCTGAAAGGGAGGACTTTGACGAGGGTGATGAGTGAGGTAAATATGCCGGTACCATCAGCTGCGACAGTTGGACGGCCGCGACACATAGATTTTTAGTAGCCTTAGGATTGTCACCCCCTATAAAATCTTTCGAAGCGGAGTAAACACTCCTTTTACCATATCGAAAAATGTAGAAAACACTCTCTGCAAATACATAACGCCTAAATCACTTACAGCCTCGCCAACCATAGGACAATTGCCACTATATTCTCGCCATTAAGTCTAAGAGCAACAACGAATCAAACATTTCGATCTGAGGTTTCTAGTTCGACGTCCTCCCAGACTGCCCACCATCGCCATATTCTCTTGCTCCACGTCGTGTATTCTTCAAGACTGGCTATCCCCGGCCAGCCAAGTACATGAGATAGATTCCCACGCCGGTCTTCCCACCACGTCAGGACACCCGGACTCGGTGACCAAGAGCGAATTGTATAGTCATGATTTCGAAATGGTCCTGGGCCGCCAGGCGCAGGAGCCATCCAGAACTGTGGGGCCTTGTTCTGTGAAGGCCCGAGCTGGATCGTGAGGCACGGTGGCTGGAAGAATCTAAGGATCTTTTAGAAGTTACCTAGCCAAGCTCCGCTAGACTTACTCATGTTGACAAATCTGTACGGAAGGGTGCGAACAGATTGCTGGAATGCTGGACTGGAATAACTCTTGTCTCTCAGGGATCGTCGACAGTGTAGCGTACGTCAAGGGCAGCGCCGCCACCGCGTCGAGCACTCGCATAACTTCTGATGGTGATGTTTGCTTGATGTTACGGTACAAAATAATCGTATAGTACTGCAACATTCACTCGTCTCCAGCTTGATTATCCGATACCTGGTTTGTTTGACCACTACTGAAATTACACGGAATCCGGTGGCAAGCAGAACAGTGTGGATCGTCGGATTCCTCGCTCTACACGCTAAATCGTGCTGCGGGACATAGACAGTATACCAGCCACGACGAGATGCTGCATCTGGCAGATAGATTTTCTCCGCCTTTCTTCCACACAGCCTCCCATACAATACGTTCTTAGCATGAGTGCAGCAGA